TGGACAGATCTGAGGACCACTGTATCCAGGACTCAGCAGCAGCAGTTCCTCCTCCAGGACACACGGGGGCAGCACACACTCAGCTTTACTCTGCTTCTGTCCTCCAGAAACATGGCGGCTCCCACGGTCCTCAGGCGACAGTTGTTTCCTTTGGCAAGGATATTGAGTGGACTTTCACATTTGGTATGTAAAGCCACATATTTTTATTATTTTGACTGTTGTGTGAGAACATCAGAGCAACCTGACAGGTGTTTGGTTTGGACAGCTGAACGGAGCAGGTCGGAACATGTCACGGTGCGATCACTCGTGGCGGCTGCAGCACCGACAAAAAGTCAAATGAACATGTTTTCTGATTGACTGTTTTAATTCTAGAAACCCAGAAGTCTGACTGTGTGTTCAGGTCACAGGAGATGTGCTGTCAGCCGGTGAGTGGCGGGTTTCTGTTTCCATGTGCTGGTTGTGATTCTACGTAGCTGATTAGAAACAGCAATAAAAACCAATTAAAGCCACTAGAGGATGTTATGGCAGCAAATATTAATGCAACGTTTGTAGATTGCAGTTGTCTGAATTAAATGTGTTTATTTACTCAGATAAATTGTCACACATGTGTTTGGGCATTTTGTCTTCTTTTTTTTTTCTCCATCGTCTTTTTTGTTGTTTTATTTTTCTCCATGAGTTCACATTGTGAGGCTGACTTAGTACTGGACCATGTTTAGTCGGTGGAAGAAGAAGGTCATAAGTGAAGCCAAATTCAACTAAAGTGATTCTTAAGCATCTCATTTCTGTCCAACCTTTTCTTTTTATTCTAACAGCAGTTCTTCTCTGTCTCTGCAGGTTTCCTCCTCCACTGACACCCAGCGCCTCCTTCCACACAGCGACACCGTTATCATCATCAGCATCATCAGCAGTGAGTGTTCATTGTCTTCAGACTGATTATGGACCAATCAGTACCACAACGTGTCCTGTTTTTATTTCTCTTGCTCTTAATTACTTAGTTTAGTTCACAGCAGAGAGCGATTTGGTTTAAAGCCCGTCTCATGCGTGTTATTTTTCTTCCAGATCACAGTTACAGAGGAGCCAGATGTGCTTTTCCAGAAGGTGCTTGTTTTGGTCAAAAGTCACGACAGAGCCGTGTTGGACAGCTATGAGTTCTTTGCCACCACGGCGGCTCAGGAGCTGGGCATCACCGTCGGCAAAGTGTGAGTCTGAGCAGCGTCCTGGTAGCACGCCGGCTGTTTACTGCAGCATGTCCGCTTTAAACCCAGAAGGTTCACGATCTCTTTGCTTCGCTGCAGTTTTGAGCCGCAGAAGGACATCGAGAGGGTGACGCTCCTGAAGTCGGTGCACATCTTTAAGAACCACAGGGTCCAGTATGAGATGAGGACGCACTTCCGGTGCATCGAGGTGAGGAGCTGGAACTTTTGTGAATCCTAAACAGGTCCTCAGACTACCTGGAAGTTATTATTCACTCTACTTGCAACCTAAAGCCTCTACACACGAGGGTTTTTAATTTATTTTGTCCGATAACGTGCACCTTTGGGGTTAACAGTTCATTAGGTTAACTGACCCTAGCATTGGTGTCAAAAGGTTCTGGTGAGGGCTGCACAACAGGTCGATTTGGACTCGACGTTGTGATGTGTACAGACAGGAAGTGCGATGAGCTCATCACTTTCTTGGCTGCTGAATACCAAAAAAAACCCTGTGCTTTTCTCAGTTTCCTCGACTAAACTATGAGAGAGAAGCTGTCTGACAATCTGCTTTGATTCAAGAGTTCTGTGTCCTAACTTCATCCCACCAGCTGTCAGAACGCTGAACCACTGAGCCGGACATGCCAACACTGGCTTTTAGTCATTGGATCCTGCAGAAACACTCTCATCTTGTCTGTGCTGCTGTTGTATGCACAGCAACATGACAATAAACCTGATTTAAGTTCTTGGATATGCTGATTTGATAGTTGGTTTACATGCAGGCGACACACATGCTCAGGAGAAGAGCGAGGAACAGGAGAGGATATTTGGTGGAAATATTTTGTCTACAGAAAAGATGACGTCGACCAAAAACACCGTGTCAGCAGCGACAAGAGGCAACACGACTGATTTGAGCACCACAGAGCTGTGCGTGACTCTTGTCAAGTGTTGCACCATAAGACAAAACATTTAACATCCTCACGCAGAACCTCTGATGTTCTGGTGCTGCTGGCCGTGACTCCTTCAACCTTCTATGAACAGTCAACACTCACGGCTCTTTTTAAAAATGATTTTTTTAAATCTTGGAAGCTGTTCCAGTCCACTACAAAACCACTCCAGTCACTCTAGGATCATTATTTTAAAATGTCGTTACTCAGGTCACAAAAACACCAAACACTTCCAATAATGTGCTGCCCCAGTCACAGTATTCATTCAGTCTCCACAACAGGACGTTTTGATCATTAATTACTGATTTTCTGATTATTTTTTTCCCGATGGACTAAACTTATGCCAACAGCTCAGTCAGAAATGACCATGTGTGGCTGGTGCTGAGCATTAATGCAACATGAGATGGTACCAAATGCCTCTGTGACCACAGACGACAGTTTAAATAAAATGTTTACAGCATTGCTTGTTTATCAGGTTGTTGGTTTAAAGTGTCTTGTTGTTTTTTTTTCTTCTGTAGTTGTCCCATATAACCGGCAGCACAGCGAAGGTTTACCTTGAGTACGTTCAGAGGAACCTCCCTGAAGGTGTAGCCATGGAGGTGACAAAGGTAACAGCCCCACCTGCTCACTCTCATTCATGACATCTAGACTGTGGGACACAAGCATATCAGGTTAAATCAGCGAACTCACTTGGGCTTGTTCTGTTTGTGTTGTCAGACTGCCATGGAGAAGGTTCCAGATCACATCCTCAAACCCATGTGGGAAGACCTGCCTGCTGATGACAAGCCCAGCCAGTGAACCGGACCGCGGCCGACAGACCATTATTACACGTGTTTGAACTGTGAATATGTTGGTAGATATGTGGTGGATATGCTCGTGTCTATGATCTAACAGAAACATTTTCCTCATACAGAGCTGAAAACAGGAGAAGTGTAGCTTTAAATAAACACAAACATTCTGCATTTAAGGACTCCCTTTCTTCTGTTTGTGCGTTTCCAACACATGACAATGTTCTGTTATCAGACTGGATGGTTCTCTATATGAACACAAGACCAGCACACACAGCATGGACTTTGGGCCTTTATTAAATAATTGATATACAAAAAAAACAAACATCACAAAATTTAACATTATTTTGTGTTTAGCAGCGAAGAAGCAGCTTCCTCCTTCTGAGCAACTGATGCTTCATACTTACGGTGATTTTTAAAGTAG